ACACTACTGGTATTTAGCTGACTTTTATACAGTCATCATATAGGATGGATGTCCCAGCCTCCTGTTGATGCTGCCAAGCTGTCACTGGTCCATGAATCCACCAATCAGCAAAGGGGTGTGGCAGCCCTTCTTTGAGGCACCGAGCAAAGAGCGCAGGTCTCTCTGCAATTCCACAATGCCCAGCCCCTCGAGAGCCAAAGTGGAAAGTTTGCTTTAGCACCCGCTGGGTTTGAAGATGAAAGAGCTTTGGGATGACATGGGTCTATGGTTGGGGCACGAGGGGGAGCACTGAGCACAGGGGGGGCTTATATCTCTTTATCCCGTCTGGCGTGCTGTGGCTGGGCCCGACCCGCATCAGCTGTCCACTTTTCTCCGGCTGCCAGTCGCCGTGCAATCCAAAGCTGGCCTGTCTGCTGTTGGATTACCTGGGCGAACGAGCGTACCCCTTCATCCCCGAATATACAGCTCACCCCACCCCGCCTGAAAGCCCTCACCTGAGCACCCCTGCACGGCCCTGGGGTGCAGTTATAAAAAGATGAAGGGGTATTGAGCTCTGGTCGGGCGGGGCTGGACTAGGGCATTGGCAGGAGGGGCTGCTGTAGTTGTGTTTATGGTGGCTAGCCAGGATTAGTTGGCGGCCGGTGGTTATTGATTCAATTTGAGATGCTTTTTTATCTGCGAGCCGCCTAAGGCCAGCGCACATGGTAGCTTCCTCCAATGGGCCCTAATCCCCGCCGGTTATAAAAGGAATATGCCTTTGGTGGCGGAGGAGATGCTCTGAATGCCTGCGCTGCAGCAGAGGAGGCATCTGTCATGTGTGTGTTTGGTTGAGCCGGCACTGGGATCAGGGGGGCTCGGCATGTTGGCTGCAGGTTTTAGCCGGTGCTGAGAGCTAGAGTAGGGAATGAGTCGGCGTACTTTTGGTATGCACTCACAATTTGCACTGCCGCTGGTATCCATGTCTCCAGCATTAACATGCATGCATGTCGTAGTTTAGCTGCAAGCCACATTTTTTCTTTTTTACACCAGCCTTACAAGTGTTCAATCAAGCATTCAGCAATAAGACTAATTCACCATGAATTGTGAATTTAGTGATGGCATGGAGTAAAAGTAAATTGATACAACTCCATAAGATTCTTTGGACTCTGTAAGGCAGTACTTCACAGTGTTTTCAACATGTCAACATGCTTACATGCTCACAATTACAATTTAACAGATTTTGTACAATCTGTAGTGAGAGTGATAGCATGCTAACAATAGCTTCTTAGCACAAAATCTGATTGACCCTATCATTAGCGTGGAAAAAGTATTTTTTACTTTATTTGTAGTATTTCTTCATTTTCTTTTAACATTTCTGTACATCTTTGCAAAAGTGGGAGAACACGTGAAAATGAATGGCTGATAGGCGCCAGAAGAGAGTGAGGGTTAGAAAGCAGAGGTTAATGAGAAGACCAACAGAGGCTGATGGATGATGAAAGAGTGATTCAGCTCTTTTTCACCCCCCCTCCCTCACTTGTGTTTATTCTGAGATTGTCATTTGTCATTGGTGGAGGGCCTTTTCTTGCCCTCCTGCGACAGCCAGCTCCAAATCATGCGCAGACAGATGGAGGGGCCAGCAACTCAAATAGAGATGGGATGGGGGAGAGAACCAAGGCCAGCATCCCACGTTTGATGTCTCTCCCCTGGGCCTCATCCGCTCTGTCAGCCCCCCCTGGTTGGTGCTGACAGATGGAACTTCGAGACACGAACCCACCGGGGACGGTGACACAGAAGAAGGGATGAGTGTGAAAGATGAATGGAAGTGGATGTATGAAACAATGTGAAAGGCAGCAGCATCTCGCCATTTCAGCCTTTCATCATACACGGCTCAAATGACATGTACCACAGCGGGCATTGTGTTAATCGATAACACATTTGCACTTGTAGAAGTAGCCGTCAAGAAAGAATGTCACTGAACTCAGAGGTTGACGGTCCCAGTCAACAAGGGCCACTCTGTTATTGGCATCATCCGGCTGTATAATCAGAATGAGACAAATAAAATGCACTTAAAGGAGTTAGAATACGGTTCAATCACTGGTGTTGTTTTGCGCGTTGTAGTGTTATAGCTCCAGTTGCACAAATGGTATTGCTGCTACAGTTGTTCCTGTTGTAGACAGTTCTACAGGTGACCACTAGAGGCTGACAAACAGCTGTGACCGGCCACAGCTACGCACTGAATTGCAGTGCCACACAAATAAAAGCAAATAATGCACAGACCATAATATTCAGCAACCACTCTCATGCAAGAAGACAGCCACTCGCCAGCTTCAAGCAAGAGGATGGCCTGAGATTTATTTTATTTCTTTCACATTTTCAGGATGAGTCGATATTATCATCACCGTGTCTTTGTTGAAATGCAACCGTCTTCATTTATTTATCAAGACGACCAGATACATTCACAAATAGCTGTGCAGCTCTATAATCTTGAAAGCGGGTATCTGACAAAATCCCCAATCTCTTCTCAAAACAATGAACAGGACTTCCTGGATATGTACAAGGGATAATGTAAGGTGATTGCATTTCTCAAAACCATCCTTCTTTTCCTCGGTAGCTGCCAGAAGAATTGGTTCCGTTTTCACTCCCCCATCATGTCTGCGCTGCCAACAGTATGCCAGCATCATGCCGAAATGAATGGATAATTGTTGTTGTGTCTACCTCTGGCCGAATATGGAATTTGAGAAGCTGGGCAGGGGACAGTGGCAGTGTCAACCATCTGGGCCCTTCACCTGCCACCCTGCCCACGAGTCAAGCAGGAGACCTGGACGTTACAGGGGCCAGAGGAACTGGTGTCAGCTGTCGGGTGCAATTCAGCCTGATTTCCAGCTACTTACTTGATTTTGGTTTCCTTTTTGGCTTACAGTAGATGTCAAGAATTAAAGAGCATGAAACTCACACTTTATTAACTGTAGTGTGTGACACTCTCTCTAGTCCTTTTCCAAACATAACCAAACAAAATCCCTGAGTTATCACCTCTACATTTCTTTATACTCACAACAATCCTGCAACCAAAATTCCTTTTTGCTCGCTTGGCTAAGAACCTAAAAAGTATTTACTGCTGAGTATTACAATCCATCCTGTGTGTGCATCTCAAGAGACACACCAACAGCTTGCTCAGCTGACCTTGATATGAGCATGAAATGTTATAAGTATATTTCTTTTATCTTTTCTACCAAGCTATTTTAGACAGAAGTATAAGCTGCTCTCTTTATCCACCTTGTTTTTTGCTTTTCTGTCCACGCTAATATGCACATATCTGGCATTGCAGCTTTGCCATAGAGAGATTGTTGAAATGGTAGAAAGTAGCTGATATTTCTTCAAAGTTTATACATTTTGATAAACAAATATATTTTTGCAATGTCATTCCAGAAGCTGCCTTTTTTGGAGACGTTTATAGTATGTGGTGTTTCACATCCACTATGTCTTTCACAAGACAAGAGCTTGTGTCACTGAGTTCAAGTGTTCCGTACACTTGTTGAAGACATTTAGTTTCAGCAGTTTGTTTTTGTGCAACACAGCATAGTATGTCTCTATCTTTTCACTGTCTCGCCCATAAACATTCCTTATTTTGGTAGTCATGGAACAAATGCTTGCATCTGATATAATGGGGAAAACAACTCTCAGATGTTATAGTCCTGTCTTGCAATTCTTCATTTGCTCTGAACCTTTACATGAAAGAAGTTATTCGCCTTTTTGTCAAAAGTGCTGCATTGGAAATCAATACGTTTAAGACTTACGGTGAGTTTTTCTTCACTTATATTGAATGGATTTCACTTTTTTATATTAATAGGAGTGTGTGAAGCAGGATATGACAAGAAATAGAAAAAAGGAAAGAGAGTAAAGTAGCCATTCAATTCCTCATGACCTCAAACCTGTACAATGTACCCCATCACTCACAGTAGTACTCTAGTGATGATGCAAGAGCAGGCTTGGATGCCCCTTTCTCTCTTGCTCTCTTCTCCCCACCCTTTCCTCGCCTCACTCTTTCCTCTCCCTCAAGAACACCCCCCACCCCACCTTAAACCCCTCCTCCTGAACTGACATGGCACCCACTAGGCCGGGGACCAGGCTGGGGATTCTGAGGTGGCGCCCAGACTCGGATTATTTACAAGAGCTGCAGTGCTGCAGAGACTGTGGTATTTCTTCTTTCAAATGCCTGGGATGGAAAGGCATGTTATGTGGAACACAGAATCTCTGAGGCCTGTTCCTCTGCTTTTTTCTGTGGCTCTTTCTGCAGAGTAGAAAGACTTGTCACACGGACACAAACAGTTATGCACTCTTACATGCTTCTTATTCTAGAAAACACTTGCATTTAAACACTGCAACTAAAAAAAAACATGTTTTATGATTAAGAAGGAGCGTCTTGAACATTTTGGGTGCAGCAAGATATTGCAATTTCTGTAAATTGATATGGAATAAGATGCAATGTCCACCAATCCTCTTGAAGCTCCTGGAAACACTCTAGCCTGTTGTGACAAAGCAAAAATGTTTTCCAGACTCTGTGACTGCTTCTGGGTAAGACACCTGAGCCAGCCTGCACAGGGGTGGGAGTGTGGTGTGGAAGTGGGGTGCGGATTGGGGAAATGGCATGGATGCGATTCGGCATTGATGCCATGTTCCACATGCCCAGAATAGCCAGCCGTTCACGGATATCTTAGTACGCACAAACACTGTAAATTAGAAACCTGCAGGTGGCATAAAGGGTTGTGAAGGGTATGGGGTTGGGGGGAAAGGGCTGATAGGATTTGAGGCTTACTGTGGGGGTGGGGGTTGTTTCTGGGGAGTGTGAGGCAGCTTGGAGTCAGCAGGGGTCAGGTTTGCTGTCTTGGGTATCAGCATCCGGACACTGACGCCAAAACAGCACAAACTGGAGAAACGATTAGACGAAAGGGAGAGAGGGGGAGAGATTGGAGGGACTTCCAGTGTGGGTCACGGCTACTGTAGCCCCCCGGAGAGTTGAAGACATGGCAAAAAGGGAACGGAAGGGGGGGCTGGAGAATGAGACAGCAAAGGGGAAGGAGAAAGCCTTGGCGTCAGTCGTGGGGGTTGAGGAGGGGTATGTTATGACATGGAAATCCCAGCCCGTTGGTCATGCTGGCCCGCGTGGGGCTCTGAGCAGCAGAAAGGCCTCCGAGTCCAGCCAGGCGGCCTCCTACCTGGCGCTGGTGGGAGCCAGGACGCAGGGAATGAACCTGTCACCGACTCCTGCTTGTAAACAAACCAAATACCGTGGGAAAGATGAGGTGTGAAGCCGAGGATGCTGCTGTCTCCCTCTCCGTCTTGCTCTCGCTCATCAACCCCCAGACTTTTTCCTCTTGTGTCAGCGAGAAATCAAATACTACCCCCTTCCTTCGATGTCCTGAACTCGTGAACTTTCTGAAAAGCATGTGCCGTTTTTTATTTGTTTGCCACGTGAACTATCGAGGTGAGCCAAAATCCGGATGTCGGCTCCAGAACCTCTTACATTTGAGAATGAATTAACCACACAGAAAGATCTAATTCCAACCTGTCATTGCTAATTATAAATATTATGGATATTCATAACTAATGTAGATTCTGTATTCAACACTCCACCGTGTGCTCTGCAGTTTGAAATGTTTTCTCTCCTGTTTGGGATAAATATAGATATCTGTCCTCGGCGTTTAAGTTTGAGAATTCCAGCTTGTTTTGATTTAATAAACTAATAGAATAGGCAATATCGCGGGTTTCTATGGCAACCACAGGCATTGCGAGATAGAAAACATGGCAATCAGTAGCCAGACTGGCAGACGTTTTTTAACCTTGACATTTTTGGAATGATACCACAACAAGTTAGTCCAAGGCTTCCCATCGTCTACGCAGCCATGAAATCCACCCACAATGTTCTTTCCAGTTTTGGATACATGTCTCCCCCCCCCCTCTCCTATTCACCGTCCTCTCCCAGACAGGTCCCACAAACACGGCCTGTCATTTTTAATAAATGCTTGAAACTGAGTGCTGGTTTTCGTCCTGGTAGATCTAGAAATGACTAAGCGATGGCTGGTTGCAAATACTTTCTGGAGAGGCCCTTGGGGTGAGGGAATGGAGCTGGAAGGAGGAGCTGGCCCCCGAGACGCCTGCAAACCGTCGGGATACACACTGGCCCGGCCACAAAAATGAGCCTCTGGCCAGTGTTGTCCGCCCCTCTGGCTTTACACAAATACACTCTCACTGACACACGCACACACCAGTGGAAAAGTGTGCCTGGAGGTGGCTGAGGAGCATGTAGTGAGGAAGAAAGATGATTTGGGAATAGAGTGTAGAAGTGGAGGGTTAGGGTGTTGTAAATTCATTCATATTTCTCCCTCTTCCTTAATGCAAGCCAAACCTCACTGGGTGAATCAGTATTCCTCATAAACAAGCCGCAAGCACACAATGGCGCCTCCGACTCTAGAGATTCGGTGAGAGAGAAATGAGAAAATAAATGAAAAAGAAAAGAGTGACAGAAAGACAGAATGCCAATTTGAGAGGGGAACACACTTCAGCAGAACATGCGGAAGAAACAAACTACACAAAACAGCAAGAAGAAGCTGTCATCAAGAGGCTTGCTGAAGGATGTAGAGGATCATGACCCCCATCTTTTAGTTCTGCCTGTGGATATGATGTCAGTACCATTTTTAAATACGATCTCTATGTATTTTGAGGATTTACAATACATTGCAACCATATTGTGTTGGCAACACTTTCTCACATGAGACATGAGCCCACCTATTCTCATTAAAGACTAATATAGAAACATACACTTTTATTGTACTGTGTGATTGCTTTGTGCATTTCAAATTTATAATACATATTTCATGAGCCAAGCCAAAAGCACCTTCCTTACCGATGTATTTCAGTCCTCAAACTCTACCGTGATTGCATACAAAAGCAACAGGACCCTCTTAGGACTAATGTATTCAGATTACAGGCAATTATGGCTTATTACCATTTTGTGGGGGAAGCTGGGCTCATTTGCAGTATTTGTTCAGTGAATGTCTAATAGCGAGAAAGGAGAGGTAGTCTCGTGCTTCCTGCTGTGCGAGCTGTGATGCTGCCTGAGAACTGTAGCGTAGCGCAAATGTTAACGTCTCATTTCCCCCCTTACCTGGAAGACGCGACGCTAATCGAGATACATCAGGGCTAATAGCCAAAACAAATCACTTGTGAGCTCACTTTGCGGGTTGTTGTCATTTGGTGGAATAGAAATGGAAAATCCAGCCATGTAATGGGGCTCATGGAAGGGGTATAATCAACCTATGTTTGAACGTCTTTAAATGATCTCTTTGATGCTACAAAGAAAGTCTATTGTTCAGTTCTTGACTTGTCAACAAACCCGACTCCATCGATGGTTGTGTCACATTCCTTTGGCACAACTTTCATTCTATGTTCCTTTGTTACAATTATACACATGCTCACATAGACCTCCCCTTTTCTTCACCCTTTCACTTCTTTTTGTTTTAGTGCCGTGATCCTGTGAGTAATGATATGGCTGTGGGCCTTTGTAGTGTCGAGTGGTGGGGGCTGAGTGAGGTCAATACTTAGATTTTAAGCTGACATGACTGTGTGCTATTTACACAAGGAATGCTGCCATCTTGGATATTAATGAAATCTTAACAGCGATCAAATTGCTGAATAATCAAATGCTAAATATCTGGCCGCGGGGACTAGACTTATCGCTTGCCCAGCTAGGCGTAAGCGGGCCAAAATCAATGACACTCTCGTCCAATTGACTGAAAAACTAAAATAGCAAGGACGTAAGTGTTAAGTGGCTTTTGGAAAGTTTGAGTATTTGAAACCGATTTCTTCCACTGACTTTAATATTAAGAGGCTATATCAGGAGCAAACCTGCCCTTTTACCTCAATGTCGGCGCTGCTAATTTGCCTCACCACCTCAGGAACTGACAAATGACACTGTCACTCGCTTGCTAATACACCATGCTGTCAAACTCAGCATCCTTGCAGTGAAACCTTCTGCCACACCAAATGTGAGTCATGAAAGGGTTGCTGTGTAGCGCTCTCGCTTCACTCTCCGTTTTTGTTGCCGTGCGATGCGAGTCTGTGGCGGGATATTTAGGTGTACGGTTTTTGGACAGGAAGAGGGGAAGCGCTGAGGTTATTTGATTGCTTCATTATGGTCATATATATGGCCATATATTTATGTATACTTTGTTATGTATGTCATTACATGTAAACCAGTGAGTGTTTGTTTGCTTGTGTGTGTGTGTGTGTGTGTGTGTGTGTGTGTGTGTGTGTGTGTGTGTGTGTGTGTGTGTGTGTGTGTGTGTGTGTGTGTGTGTGTGTGACGGAGTAAAGAGGGCTCAGTGTTTGGACCACCCTGTGAGCTGGGCTGAGTGACAGCATGGGCCTCAAGACTCATGCAGTAGACACACACACACACACACACATACACACACTTGCGCACACACACACACACTCAAGAACGGGCATACAGTACTCAAACACACACGTCAGCAGCCTCGTTTTTCAACATGTTTTCTACTCTATTAATGTCTCATGACTAAATACATATCAGGCTCCAAAGCAAACATGGTGTATTAAAATGAAATAAATCACGTTGGGATCAGGAGGGAACACACACTCTCTGGTACGGACAACACTGTACCACCCAGTAGCATGGCAGCACGAGTACCTGCTGTTTCAACCCTACCCCTATACCCTATATTTCTCAACACCTTATTCAAAAAGACAGGCCTGACATAATTAAGGTGCTTAAGGAATAATATGTATACATTTTCGGTGGATTTGAGTAGTAGGGTAAATGCGGTGATGACATAACGCTAAATTGAAATGAATTGTAACATATTTTCAGAGCGTTTCGACTGTAATTTCCCATTAGTCACCAGTAGTTTCGCTTTATTACGACATTTTCCAGTAATGAATAGAGGCATGACTCCAGTTATCCACCACCACAGCGAAGTGCTAGCCGTGTATTTTTTGGCCACAAATCAGAAATTGTAAACAGGTCAAGCTGTGATAATGGCATTCATATCAAAGGCTTTTCTTTATATATATTATTAGGCGGTGGACTAGTGACCCCCTGCCATCATGTTGAGCACACACTCAAGATATTGCATCGACCTCATTTGTAATAATATTTGTTTTTGTTTTGTTGTGTTTGTATGAATGGTAGCCTAGCAGTTTTCCTAATTATCTAAAATATTACCATCCAATCCAAGACTAGTGGAAAATGTCCTTGTTACAATTGCAGTCAACGCAAAAAATGTGCAACATATTGAAGAGTAGAAACAGATACATGCATGCCACGCCTGTGACATTGGGTACCTTTATTGTTTTAGGAGCAGGAGAAAAGAAACTTGATTAATCTTACCATATACGTTTATTATTAACTGATATGTAAGCATGCATATTTAGAAGCTCAACATTTAAAGAAAGATTATTCCAAAGTAGATCCCATTAAAACAGTTTTTCTTGTAGTCAGGTCACCATTCTGGCCAATGCCTTATCGGTCTGGATAGGAAATAAAGATTGGAAACTTTGAAACACTTTTTGGAGTTATAAAAAATATTTGGATCCATGACCATGACATCATTGATGAAACGCTGGCCTTGAAAGTCTCACAAATATCCTGTTATCTGGTAGTTATGAAAAGAAAGAAAAATCCATCCTACATTTCCATGTGTTGCCCTAATTGCCAAATTCCAATACAGTTTGATAGCTATAAATGACATGTCTGTGGTTCAGATAGACCGGTGTGATAAATCTGTTCGACCTCTCCTATGACTTCTTCTGTTGTCAGATGATAACTGTACTGATACTGAGTCTCAGTGCTAAGAGTTTAATAATATTACTGCATGGCGGAAGTCCTAAAAATAAGACTGCTGAGAGGCAACTGATCTAGCATCTGATTAAGGCCAGCGTTGGCAAATGAGACCGCAATGGTAGCTTTCTCTTATTACTCTCTAACTCGTACAGTACATCCCTGCTATGGGGCTGTCCCTCTTGATATGCCAACACATACAACATTGGACAGTATTGAGGAAAAGCACCTCAGTTTGACTATCAATGTTACAATTCGTACAGAGAATAAGCTGAAATTATTTCAACTTTGACCTTGATTGTTGCTGACCTTTTGATGAGAGACTAATCAGATGACAGTTATCTCAGGCTAGCGAAAGTTATATAGTTTCCTTTTGAATATCTGAAAAGGGTTCAACATGCCAAATTCGACCAGTTCACTCAAATCTGGCAAATCTTTCTGGCC